GACCGAGCATCGTCTTTCAAAGGGCGTTGTAGGGCAAAAAGAAAGGGTCGGGGAGGAATGCTGGTTATATAAATAGGGTTGTGTATTGCAAACACTTGGGTTGGAGCTGGGTTTGATACACAATCCCAGAGGCAGTTGTGTTTTACAGCCTGCTGAGGCAAGCTGCCGTCGATCCGGGGCTGGGCTTCATGCAGGTAACGCCGATGCCTTCCGTCCTAGGAGGGAAAAAAGCGTGGTGCCACTTCTGCTGGGCTGAATGCTTGCAGTATTTCATGCAGTGTGATTAATTAAATTATTCCAGTGTTAACCTACTCTGGGCTTTGCTTTTAAAATGGTTGAACAGAGAGGAGAGGAAAAAAAAAGCCTAAACTGAAGAGAGAGATTGCATTTCTCCCTAGCACATCCCTAGGAAAGTGTTGCCTTTTATTTTAAGCCTGGTACCTTCAATGAAATATCCAAGAAGATTGATTAGAAGCCGTGCATAATGATAGCATGGAAATCAGAGACATGCAGGGTTTAGGTTGTGAAACAATGGAACTAAAATAAAATATTGAAATGATGATGTACTGTGTGAGATCTTGTTTTAAGCTTAAGATAAAAATCCAGCATTTGTGGTTCTGGCAGCAGGATACTTCATTCTTTTTTTAAATCTGTCCAGAAATGTATACATTTACTTCCCTTCGCTGGCTTCTATTGGAGATGTTACCGCAGCCCTTTGTGCTGAAGCGGGCGCCGGGGCTGTGTTGTCTGCTTCGAACCGAGGAAGACCCCGTTGTCGAGAATTTTCTCTGCAGCCCTTAATTAGCCAGAAATGCCGTTTGTAACGAAACCCTCGTCCTTCCCTTCGCAGCTGAATCTGGTATCGAGTGTCACGCTTTCCAAGACCGCATCCGAGGCGTCTCCACAGAGCTTACCTCATACTCCCACCACCCCGACTGCGCCCATCACTCCCGTCACGCAGGGACCGTCGGTCATCACTACCACGAGCATGCACAACGTTGGACCCATCCGGAGGCGGTACTCGGATAAATACAACGTCCCCATTTCTTCAGGTAAAGGGGTTCTGGGGGTGCAGCCCCTTTGGTGGGGCAGCTTGCTGTTGCCCGCAGCCTGGCAGCAGCAGGCTGTGATGATAACAGAACAATTGCTCTTATTTAGCAGATATTGCCCAGAACCAAGAATTTTATAAGAACGCAGAAGTTAGACCACCATTCACGTATGCATCTTTAATTAGACAGGTAAGCTAAGCCAAACACATGCATTTGGATTAGAAAAAAAAAAAATACCTCCCTATATGTGCACACTCTGGATTAAATAGATTTTCAAACCTTTGGTATGTAAGCGTGCTCAAATGCTCAAACCTTTACTATAAGGGTTTTTAGAACAGCAATATATAACATAATTGCTTTTGATTAAGTATTACAATACGATGTGATTATTAGGAAATTCATTTCACACAACAGTGAAAATGAGCCTGTTTAAAGATGGCAAGTCAATTATCACAAGCTACAGTAATCTCTGATCCCTAGAATTAATCTGAGCTCTAAATAATTACTGAGCTTTAATCAGCTAGTGAAATGTTTTGCATTTCTCTTTGATTCTGCTTTATGAATGACTAATAAATTAATATTTCTGTAAGGAAACAGAAATAAAAACTCAAAACAATTAGATAATTCCATTTTGAATTTTGCCATTGAACTGTTAAATACAGCCATTAATCTTAGTTCATATTGTGAAAACCCTTCTTTGGATTTTTTGCCCCAAATCTCTTCTTTCTTTCTTTCTTTCCTTTTTGTGTTTGGTAAAGTAAAACTGTGAGTGTATTTTGTACTGGTGTGCTCTTGACTGATCTTGCAATCGCTTTGCTTCACAAGGCCATCCTCGAATCTCCAGAAAAACAGCTAACACTAAATGAAATCTACAACTGGTTCACGCGAATGTTTGCTTACTTCAGACGCAACGCGGCGACGTGGAAGGTAAGCCTCAGCCCGCCTGTGCCTTTGATATCTGACATGTACAGAATAGACACTGCTGATGACATAACAAATTGTAACGACATGTGGACATGAAAATTTAGATCGGCAGTTTTGACACACGCTGGGTGCCTTATCTGCGGGAACAATTTGATATTTGGCAGAAAAATTCTTCCGCCTTTGAAAACCACTAATTGAATCCCTATTATTGGCTTTTTATGTTCGTGATTATGCCACGAGTTCCTCTGTGTGGCTGCTGCTAGCAGTGAAACTCAAGCCCTTCAGCTGGAACATATTAGGAGGGGGAAAAAAAGAAAGAGGTGAAGTTATTGTGTCAGTAGAAGATATACTGTTTGTCTTTTTAGTTATCACAACAACCACTTTTTTCCTAGGATCTCTAGATCAATGGATTTCTTTTCTCAGTCACTTGACTCTCCACTACATACACACATCTTTTATAAGGTTCCTTTTTAATCACACAGCAGAAGCTTATTGAACATAATATTCATGAAGCAAGCCTCGCAATAAAAAATGTATTTAACAGGAATAAATTTGGTGTTTGCCATTCCTACCGTAACTGTCTCATATTGTTAGACAAGAGGTCTGGGGAGTTAATTTTATTTTATATTTTGGGGGCCACTCTTTCTGTTATACATGGCATTATAACGATCACAGTGGCTTCTGAAGCTAGTGCAATTACAAATTAACGAATCAGGTAGCAGGATCTTGGATTGCTGTAAAATTGCACCCATGGTACCTTGAGCCTCTCTTAATCTAGACAACTCTGTTGCTCACAAACAACTTTGAATGACCAGGTAGGATGAGTATGTCCCATGCGTGCTGTTTCATCTGCTCTTCCTTTTTTTCCTGTCTCAGCCTGCCTTAGGATTAATTCCTTCAGAGGATGGAGCTAAAAATGGTCCTTGGAAGCTAGCTTGGGTTTTAGTAGCATGTTTTGCTTTTAATTCAGATTCCAGCGCAATTTGGTACATTTTCAACCTTGTCTAGAAGCTCTTAGGTTCAGGAAAAGTCTTGGTGATTGCTGCTTTGATTCTTCACTGCAGTTGGAAAACATGAGCAGTGTTTCACTTTGCAGCTTCCTTACTGTCCAGAAAGGAAATTAACTTTCCCTGATTTAAGATCCTTTTAGACCTGCCTGTCTTTTGCTGCTGGAGTGGTTCCAGTAGGACTTTTCAGCAGCTGCAGGTGTGGGTGCTAAAGTAAAAATCCTATTTAATTCCAGCAGCAAAGGGAAGTGGAGGGGGGAGTGACAGACAGCAGCAGGCAGCCCTGGCCGTATCTCCTGCGAGGCTGGGTTTAGGAATTAGCTTTGTGCGTCACATAGAACGCAGTCCCAGAAACTACTTCTGCGGAGACGGAGGGGAGAGGCTGAGCTGCAGACCCTCGGGCTTGCAGAAGGGCAGGGAGTGTCCCAGGGAGGCAGGGACCGTTTGGAGGCCCCTCCAGGACACCTTGGCCTTTTGCAGGTGCCCAGGTCCTGCTTCACCTGCCTGGGAGGAAAAGCTTCACCCTAAGTTCCACCAGCGGTAGCAAAATTGGCAGCTGCTTGAGGGTGATGTGGGTTTTCCTGCTAAAGGCTGCTCAGATTTATGCCAGCCTTCAGGAACAGCAGGATGAAAATGCAGCTCTGGATGGGCATGATGGGAAGCCCGCGTGGCGCAGAACAAGCACAAGTGGCTAATGGCTGAACCAGAATAACGTGACTATATATGTGCCGATTTGCGCTCACCTTCAGCTAATGCTTAGGGGGCGTTTGGGTCGGTGTTCCCCAAGTTTAGGGTCAGGGTGCACTGTGGGCAGGTTTCCCTGAGCCCTCTTTCAAAAACACAGAAGAGTGGAGGAATAAAGACCTTTCAAAAATGAACCTCTCTCCCAAAATGCAGTACGGCAGAGCCTGAGCAGTTATTAAAATACCAAACCCTTTCATTTACTACATTCAAGCATGTTCAGGGTAATTTTTCTGCAAAAGTGGCTTGCATACAAATATTTTTAACAAGGTAAATATATAATCTTACAATAATAACTCCTCATTTTTCTGTTAAGCTGATTGCTGGGGGAGCACTGTGAACTGGTTCTGACAGGTCAGAGGCAATGTCTGTTTGCTTTTATTTTTTGGAGTAATTTGCTGGCACTGAGTCGCAGCCACGAGGCACAGGCTGCAGGTGTGGCTCCGAAACGTTGGGGTATTGTTCTAATAAAACTATTAGATAGCAAGTATCCAGAGGCAGGGGAAACAAAACAGTTCTTTTCTGCCATGATTTCCTTAAAAAAAAGTGATCACATGGTAAACACAAAGCTCGGGCAACACTTCATGGACATCTTGCAAATACTCAACTTGTCTGTCTCAACCTATTGTGCCAGAGCCCGATCCAGCAGCCTTAAGCATCAAGTGCACGTTGATTTCAAGACAAGAACAGACTGTAAAGTATTTCTCCGGCGTTGGATTTATTTAAAGAGGAACACAAATATTTCTGCTCAGCTGTGTGTTTAGAGACTGTTTACAAACTCTGAGGACTCACTTCGCCGAACTTTGCTGCGAGTGCTGTATGAACCACAGGATCAGCTTTCACTGGGGGAAATAGCATTATTATTCTTGCATTTTGCTCCAGACTTGACAGCGTTCCCATTTTCACAGGAAACTGCCTGAGTTACCCAGATGTGGGCCGGCCAGCCCTGTGTCAGGTTGCACTGGTGCGGCACCCACCAGCAGTTGCTGAGCTAGCTGATTTTAGCCTGTAAGGTGTAGGGCGTTTGCATGTTTTTCCTCCGCCTCAAAATCAGGGATTTTGCTAAAAATTTCAAAACTAGTAAAATCTGGAAAGGATGGGAGGGAACAAAGAAAGTAAGAAAAAAGTAAGTAAGGCAGAAAGAAGCAGCCCTGATGGACAGGTTGACTTTCTGCTAGATTTCTACATTGCTGAGAGGAAAAGCCTTGTTTTTCCACCAGTTTGCAAGCAGATCAGTGCGGAAAAGCTGAAGCGCCAGGATCAGGCACCTACAGCCGGAGGAGACGTGTTTGCGCTCAAGCAAGTGCTGAGCAAAGGCAGTTGGAGCCCTGACTCTTCCCCTGTACCCGGGTGTAGGGACGATGCTGGCGTCTGCAGAGCAATGGAAGAGTAGCAGAAGACCCTTCGCCTTCCCCTCCCAGGCACACACACCACTGCCTCTTCATTTACATGACAAATGCGCTGTGCGTACCCTTTGTTTGCACAGTGATTTAGACATTCATGATTAGAGCTGCCTTTCACCATCCAGACCCCATGTTCATTAAAAAAAAAAGAGACAACAAGACGAGGAGAAGGAAAAAAAACGTAGTCTCTTGGTTGCCTAGACCCAGGCCATGTGTTTGGCTGGCATCGTGCCTGCTAACGAGTCAACCAGATTGACTACATCAATGGTGCCAGTGATGATGGATGGAGTTTGTTCGCCTGCATATTTTCAGCAAATGGCTTCTCCTGTTTTCCCTGTTTACCAAGCCCCTTTCGGCAGCGCTGGGGACAAGGTCCGTGTACAAACTCGAGTGGCTTTGCGGAGGGTATTTGCTCAGAAGACTCCTAAACCGGGGAAGAAGCATGGCATTCCATCGGAGGAATAACAGGGCTCTCGGCACCGTTTCAGAGGGAGCGTGGACAGAAAAGCCAACAGCTTGCCGTGATGTAGCGAGGTGTCTCGTCATGTCCAGCTTGGGCAAAGGTCCCAGCGTGTCGGAGGGGTTGGCCGGGCTCATCCTTCCCTGGCGCTGAGCTGCAGAGAGGACATGTGAGCATCAGATGCCATGAGCCTGGGTCCCTCTGGGTGATGAGCTGCGGGGATATTATCACTTTGTTTCGGAGAGCCCTCCTCATGTTTTCACTTGGCAGAGGCTCAGATCAGTCAGTACGGTAGTCTGCCAGAAATAGGAGCCAACTTACATATAAGAGCAAGCGGTGGAGGCCGGAGTCGGTGCCATGCCAGCCGGTGGGGTGCTGCCGGGCCCCTTGGTCCGTGCCGTGGGGTGTGGAAGGAGGTGCAGCACCTGATTCGCATTAGTCCAGCTGTGGGAAACCACAGCAACACCAGCTCCAGTGCCCCTCTGCTAAACTGTACTGACGTGAAATCCTTTCTCTTCTAACTGCTTTCTTTTCCAGGAGAGGAGAAGTTGCTCTTTGCAGAGCGTATATATTTGTTTTGAAAATGGCTTAAGCAATGTCCCTCTTGTGTTCTGTATGACGTGTGCTGTATTATACAACGTGCATGCTTAAAATGATGGCTGTTCTCATTCGCACTGGGGATAATTGATAAGAATAAGTTGAGTTTTTAATCTTGCGTTTAAGCTTTCGTATTTACTTTGTCTTTGCAAAATAAGAGCCGGGGAAAGCAAGCGGGTGCGGGGAGGGGAAGGGGCTTAACATTGCAAAATGAGGACTGTCAAGCTGACTGTGCTGCTGTTCTTGGACAATGATGAGCATTTTCTCATAGAAAGTTTTTGAATGTTTTCTCTTTTATACTTGCTGCAGAATGCAGTGCGTCATAATCTTAGTCTTCACAAGTGTTTTGTGCGAGTAGAAAACGTTAAAGGGGCAGTATGGACAGTGGATGAACTAGAGTTCCAAAAACGAAGGCCACAAAAGATCAGTGGGTATGTCCACCATGTTTGAACTTCTTAGCCTAGCTTGGATCATGCTTACAGTTTAACATAGAGGCTTTTGGCTGCTAGCTGGTGTTACGCCAACCACAGGTGGTTTCGCATTGTTTCAGTTAAGGGAAACCAAGACAAACATCTCATCACTACTGTTTGTATGCCCACCAGTACCCTGACCCTGCTTGCTTGGTGTTTGTTGCATCACATGCTAGTAGCTTGTAGGTGGCAATGCATATTAACCCTCACAAACCATTTGCTTATGCTTATTGCATTTTATTTTCTTTTTCCTTTTCCCTGTATTTGATGTCTGTTCTGTCCCCGATCCCGTGTCCCTTTGTTTCCACTTCATCTCCTTTGCTGCTGCTCTTGTCCCAGGGTGCCATTCGCACCAACCTCTCACTGCATAAGTGCTTTATCAGAGTAGAGGATGAGTTTGGGTCCTTTTGGACTGTTGATGATGAAGAGTTTAAACGTGGCCGTCATATTCAACGAGGCCGTCCTCGAAAATACTGCCCTGATGAAAACTTTGGCGAGCTTGTTGCACAGTAAGAGCTTTTACTTGCTTTAATTTTTTTTTTCTGCTGTTGCTTTGCTTTGCATGATTTACCCATCTCATGTAGACTTGCATTTCACGAAATAGTGACATCACCTTTGCTGCTAAAGAAACTAAGATTTTGGTTGTTATGTGTATTTTATGTGTCCTACTCTGATAATCCAAATGCCTGTAGTAATAACTCTACTTTGACGTGTTTGTTATAGCATTTGTTTATAGTGCAATGTAGACTAAAATAATTATCCACGCTAGTGCAGATACGCTGCTGTAGACCTGTCAGGAAGACAGATATATGCCAGGAAAGGCTTCAGATAAGTTTTAATTCTGATATTTCCCTTTGCTTCCGGTTGTGTGCCTTGTTTTGCAACTTTGAATCAGAAAGAGTGAAAACGAGACAGAATTAACTTTGAGAAGTTTGCAAGTTCAGTGAGAGCGGCTGTAAAGATCATAATCAACGGGCCATCTTATGTCTGCAACAACCGTGCACAGACATTCCTGGGGTTCCCAAAGCAATTTTCTTTGACCTGTACTGGAAGGCCATCTCTCCGGGACAAATGATCCTTGCTGGGTTCTGTGAGAGGGGGCTCAGTTAAGACTCTTCTCACCGTGATTTACTTCCACACCAAAAAAAACTCCCACAAAACCAAAAGCCCAGTGAGCAATACAACTTTTTGAAGAATTTTTTGCATTGCCACTTTTTATCTGGCTTGGTTTTGATTATTTTTTAATTTTTTTTTTTTCCCCTGTGGTCGAACCGGTGATATTTAGATGCCTGCTAACGAGAACGCAGATATGCGCGGCATTCGTTTTCCTCAAATCCAACCCCTCAAGATGACTGAAGTATGGGTCCAAAATAGCACACCAGAACATTTTCTTATTAAAACAGCCTTTGGGGCAGCCTGTTGTGGTGCATGGTCCATACCGTTCGCTGCGGTGCAGCAGGACCTGCCATTGTGCCTCCGTGCCCACAAGCCCAAGCTGTTTGGGGTGATGACGTAGGCAGCCCCTCACCGGGACCACTTGCCGTTGGCCTGCTGGGAAATAAATAACGTGGCTCAAATCCGCTCTCATCGTGGTCCCTCTGCTCTGTTGCGAGGGACTCTGCTGCCAGCCACTTGGAGAATAATTTGCGTGAAGCAGTCTTTAAAAAGTCCCGCGATGCTTTTGGTCGGAGCCTCCTCGTGGTGGACCTTTACGTGGTGCCTGGCTCCCAGACACGCCGAATATTGGAGAATTTCTCCTGAGCACAGCTAAAATGGGCAGAGATGCCAAGATGTGCTGCTGACGCAGGGTAGTAGAACACATGGCGAGGTAACGTGGAGAGATAATGATGTTCCTTATTTAGTAAAGGCAAATATGATAACCATAGTCTAAAACTCAGGTATTTTCTTTAAATTAAAAAAAAAAAAAGAAGAAAATGAGAAACGAAAGAGAACTTGTGTGGAAAAACAGTCTCAGCTCTAGTTTTCTGGTGTGGGAGGAAGCGTTACATGCTTGAAATGCTCTCACAGAAGTTGGTTGCATTTAACTCTCCTTTTTATGTTTTTCTTATGCAGTAACCCTTCTCTTATTAAAAACATACAGACCAGCCACACCTACTGCACACCTCTCAATGCTGCTTTACAGGTAAGATTAATGACTGTAGCAAATATGCAACAGAGGCGTGTGTCTTCCCCACTCATTTCAAAATATATTAGCCTTGCTCTAATTAGATATTAAATTTTAATTCCGTTAAACTTTTTTCTTAAGTGCATAAAGCATCATAGTCCCTGGAGGCAAACACATATCAGGCTGCTTCAGCATTAGCTAGATGCTTAGCATTTTGAATATTGTGGCAAAAAAATTAAAAGTTCACTTATTAATATTTATCAGCAGTATCATAATTTCCATCCTCTTATTTCAGAATTTCACTTGAGGCAAAAATACCACAAGTGTAATTACTCTAGCACAGCTATTAATGTGCTGAATGATAGGATACTGCGGCACGTGACCTTCTATTGTTCATGGGTTTAAAGAGAAAGCAGATCATTTTTCCCCCTTTTCTTTTAAGGGCTATTTTTGCCTATCTTCCTATTGTTGGTAAAAAAATAAACGTCACAATTTGAATAGAGGGGAGAAAAAAAAAAATCATTTTTATTGGTTTAAACCGTCCTGTAATTGCAAGACAAAAATTCTGTTTTTTCAGGATGCAGAAATACACAAAGTGTCGGTGCACAATTCATAACTTGCAGCCTAAAAGTATGCATGTCTCCAGTCTTTTCTCATGTAATGTGTATAGATCAGCTTGGCTTTTTTTTCCCCCCTCTACAAATTCCTGAGTCTGTCTCAAAAAACCCAGGCGAAGGAAGCATTTGCTATACAAACCAAGGACAAGAATGCATTACTGTGCCCTGAATTTGAGAGTTGGGGGGAGGTTATCTGTGTTTGGGGGGGATTCAAGCCTGTTCCATGTAGTGTGAATTAATCCGGGAGGCAACACTGGGCTTGGCAGCACCGTGCGGTTGTTTGGTGGGGGTTGCTTCTGGACAAGTTAGGCGATGGCCATGGACGTTTGCTTGAGCAACCACGTTTTATGGAAGCTTTAGCAGACTTCTCTTTTCAGAACCAAGAAATATATTATTATGAGAAAAGCCATGTTCTGCATTTCATCTAATTATTGGACTGTACACAGTAACTTCTGAAAAGCAAAGGAAAGCATGTTTAAACGAAGCAACTGTAAATAACATTCATTAGTAACTTATTTTCCCTGGAGTCTTGTGAAGTGTGATTTTTAAAGACTGCTTTGTCTCTTGAATAGCATTAAGATTACCAGCACATTTTACATTCATGAGGCTGAAAGGCAAAACTGAAATGATCCTGCGTTTCTTCACATTGTTAACTATGTGACTAATTTCAATTAATATGCTTATCATACGGAACTGTTTGTGTTTTCTTTCTCAAACACGTGCCGTTGTCGTCATCTCCAACCATTCCTGTCTTTCGTGATAACCTCCAAACTGTTCCCATTTCCCACTTCTCCTGGAAGTGGCACGTGCTTGTGCCCCCCCATAACATGGTGTGAACTGATGGAGAGAAGAGCCTGGGCCAGATTCACAACCCCTCGTGTGGCCCCGATAATAAATGGGGCTGAGCAATATTCATTGCGCTGAGACAGGTCCTTGTTCAGGTTGAAAATACCCCATGTTCCTCATCCCTCTCCCCTCGCCACTGGATTTTGGAGGCAGAATCCTGGCGGGGAGTTTGGGCAGAGCTGTGCAGGTGCCGCATAGGCAGTTTGGACCTTGCTTGGGCAATAACCTTCCTCCTAGGACACAGAGCTGCTTCACCTGCCAGTCTAATTAATAATTAACGATCAGTCTTCCCCTGGCTTTGCAGGCGTCTGCCAAGGCCGGCTCTTTGCCCATCCTGTGATGAGCGCAGCGGTCGCCTCTCTGCAGGCTGGGGAGCGGCACGGTGTGCTGTGCTTGCCGGGATGGCAGGCTGTGGGGTGGCAGGGACGCCCCTCTTCTTCACCCCGACTCCTCCAACGTCTTCTCCGTCTGTTTCCCCTCGCAGCCGGGGAGAAGCAGCAGCTCTGTGTGTGGAGGGTGCGAGGACTCCAGCTCTCCCCAGCACTCTTTTCCCAGCGGGTCACCCGAGGCTCCCAAAACACCCCCCTCCCCTATTATTATCTTTATAGAAGATAGTCCTCATGTCCCACCTCTCCCCCAGTAAATTGCTTTACTGCAATTACAAGTTATCACTGTGGGTGAAGAACTTGAGTCATTATTTTGCCAAGTGCAGGAAATGTGAACCATTCTTTGCATCCCCTAATCACAATGAGTTTGCCGGTTGTTGAATCAAGAAGATAAAAATAATCCTCCCCGTTAGAATGGCTTTTGTAATCACGTGTGACACACAGGGCTGCACATGGAGAGGTCACCGTAAGGAAGAATAAAGGGGCCATGCTCCTGAAGATGCTGCTGTCAGGGCTGGTTGTGCCCCCCCCCCCCCTGCCTGCTCTCTGGCCGTGCTTGCCTGGGAACAACTGCCAGTTCGGATGGCAACAAGCAAGGAGTTTTGTCCCATGAATTGGGAGCAGGCGAGAGCGTTCGCTGGGGAGTAGGCTTGCATGAATTCCCCTCCCACGGGCAGGGTTTGCATCATGCAGACCTGGAGCCTGATGCATTTTTTGGCTCCGTGGCTGCAGCCGGCTGACCTCCCCCTGGAGCAGGTCGAGCGCTGCTGAGCCAGAGACACGTCTCAGAGAGCTGCGGATGATGTCAGCCGGATCCGGCTGGGATGGGTGAAATGGTTAAATGTCCTTCGAGTCCCTGGGCGCGACGGCCTTGGAAAGCCGTGCATCCCATCCCCGCCACGGGGCTCCTCCGGGGCTCGGGGCTTCTGCGCTCCCACCGCTGCCGCGCTGGGCACAGGACTGTGCCGTCAACATGAGCTAATGCTGACACACAGTAAATATTAGCAGGCAGAACAGTGGGAATCAGAAGGAAAATATTTAACAGTTCATTCTCTTCCTATGAAGATTTCCATTTAGAAAGTTAACTCCAGTGTGCCTCTGCCTGGTGTTTCTACAGAACAAGGGAGGATCGAAATAGAACGGTCAGATCTGTAGTAGCTAAGGAGAGGTAAGGGCTGAGTTGCTGAGGCTTGAAAAATTTCACACAGAGTGGTTCAGCACTGCAGCTCGGACAGATCGGTGCTCAGCGCCGCTTCGCACTTGTGTCACGAGAGAAACCAGACTCGGTAATGCTGCCCTCCCGCCCGCTGCCCGTTTGCTCTGCTAGGAAGGAGTTACCAGCTGAGCGAATTCTGATTTTTTTTGCACTATTTCATTAAAAACAAAACCCAAACCCAGGCCAAAGCCACAAAAAAAGCCCAAAGCCCCAAACATCATTTTGCAAAATTAAAATAGGAAAGGGACTTTTTTTCTAGGGGGTGTAATTCCAAGCAGGGAATGGAAAGCCCGTCATCTCACAAGCCAATACAGCTATGAATGTTTAAACCCAGATGTAAATGATGTTAAATTTCCCTTGGTGGAATCAGGGTAATACCTATCAGAAAACACAGTATTTTAAAAAACGGTAATTGCAAATAATGTGAATGTGGAGAATGTTTTGGAATAAGTGAGTGTGTTGTGCGAGGTATAAAAATATTAGTCATGGCTCTTCATATATGTGTTTGTGTCCCTGGCAGGCTTCAATGGCTGAGAACAGTATACCTCTATACACTACTGCTTCCATGGGAAATCCCACTCTGGGCAATCTAGCCAGCGCGATGAGGGAAGAGCTCAACGGTGCAATGGAGCATACGAACAGTAACGGGAGTGACAGTAGTCCAGGACGTTCCCCTATGCAAGCAATGTGAGTATGGCAGAGGCGCGTGCATGGCTGTAGGTGTTGTCTGACCGTCTGTTGAAGCGTGGCTCCCGAGGCCTCCGCGGTTTGTTTCTGAGGTTCATGGATGGAGCAGCAAGTGTAGACATCTCCATCTGGGGACGGGCTTAGGTTGATTAGAAGAGGGACGTTTACCAACTTCTGCATAAGAACCATCAGTCCGGTCTGACCAGCACACCGAGCTATGAAATTGTTAACTTGCTTGCAGTTTTCTTTAAACCTTGCAAAACTTCATAGGCAACTGTTCTCTTAGAGGAAAAAAAAAAACCCAACTGCTTCCTCTCCCCTTCAGTCCACACGCACCGGTGGGGCAGAGCTGGGAAACGGGCTTGTTTGGTGGTTCTGAAAAACAACCCTGCCACTCGACGCACAATGGTCTTGCTAAGCATTAACGATGGCATACGGGAAGGTCTGCGTGATTTATAGATTGCTCTTAAAATATCAAAAGACAAATTAATAGGAGCATTATGGCAACAGACGGCAGAGTAATGAGTACATATATAACCGCATGAAGTAACGGGGGATCGCCGTCCCTGCTCAGTGTGAACGGCACCCGGGCAGCGAGCTGGCGCAGGAAAGGGTAAGGCAGGAAGGGTGTGATGCCCCGATGGGTGTGTTCGGTATTTATGGGGTGATGGAGTGAGTTTGCAATGCTGTAAATTCCCCCCCTCCCCTCAAATTACATACTGGGTAATTGGCAGCTGGCGAGGAAACTGCAGTTTGTAAGTCTTTTGGTTCTCTGAAAACTCTTCGGAGCGGTTGGCTACCTGTGCGAGTGGCCGGGTGCGAGAGCCGTGCTGCCTTTTTCTGCCTGTTCCCTAAAAAGGGCTGTGAAATTGCTGCCTGACTTGCCACGGCTCACATTACGCATTAAAAAGAGAACTAATTTGTAGTCTTTTGCTTCGAAGTAATTTGAATAAGGGATTTACAAAAGTAAGTCTAAATCAAAAAGTAGAAAAACATTAACCTAATACCACGATAGCAATTAGTTGTGAAACTAATTAGCATTTAATGGCAAAAAAGTTTCCCACCTGCATAATGTGTTGTCAGGGGGGAGGGGGCACGAAGGAATCTGAGGCTCTGGGTACTTTGATATTGCAGCGTTTTAAATCAGTGCACAGAGTGCTTTGAAAAAATAAAATCTTTAAAGATGGCAACATTCGTTTTTAATTAATAATTAATTTAAACATTGTCTTTTACCATTTACTTCAAAACATTCAAATAATGTGTTTAGCTTTTCCAGTGATTGTTTGTGCAGTATTAATTATCTCTCCCAAAGTAGCGTGGCATGACACACTTTCCGTCTCTCACAAACGGATTCGTCTTGAGGCAGTTTCAGTCACAATTCGTTATCCTCTGCCCGTGACCACGTAGGGCCAGCGTGGAGAAGGAGTGGAGGGACGTGGCTTTTCTCCAGAAACGAGACTTCTCCCAAGGGTTTCTTCTGGCCTTACAGACAGGGATGAGCGTTTATGATGTTGCGTTAATCCAAGTAATTATTTTTTTGCAAGTTCAAGGCTAGTGTAGTTCATGCACTTCTCATTTCACCTAAGGTTTCGTTGTCTTTGAAGAGACGGCGAGGAGGGAAAAATAACCGAGTTGAAACAGGCTAGGACATCTTCCAGAGCTGTGCATAGCCGTGGCCTTTGTTGCACTTAATAATCATCTCTTAGCACATTGATACCAAGGTGAGGGGCACGGAACAAATACTGGAGAGAGAGGAGGATGGGGGGGAGGGATGCCTCATTTTCATTATTCACCAGAAAATCCAATTTTCTGTTGTAATATGGAAATGATTGTTTCCTGAGTGTTTTCATTTTCTCAGAATTGATAATATATGTGTTCTCTGCTGAACATTACTTTTTGCTTAAGTAGAATGTGGCTGGGTGGTGTTCCAGTGCCAGCCCCTGAGCTTCCCCATTAAAATGGTGCTTCTAAGTAGTTTGAAGGGATCTAAAGCCACAACGCCATTCGCTTGTTGCGGCGTTTACCTTGTTCACTAAATAAAATCCTGAGTCAACAGCAGATTTCCAGGTGCCGTGCAACCTCTTGTTTTCCAGAAGCCTGCTTTGTTAATGACATTTTCAGTTTTTTCCTCAGAACAGATTTCCTTGTCATAATGCAAATGATTTTTTTAAACAATTTCAGTATATTAGAATAAATCAAGCTTTAAACTTTATTGTAAGGTTTAAAGGACCTTGTTAACATGACAGCTAAGAAGTCTAACACTTCAGCTGAAGTCTTATTACGCTCATTCGTTTCCTTTTTATGACACATTGAACCACAGCTAGGTTTTACCCCCCC